TTATGTCTTTGTAAGACTTGAATTTGCTTGCCAACCTTCCGTGCTATCTCTGTAATGTGTTTGCTGAATTTTAAATCTCTATCGATAGTTACACCTAGTAACTTGACATCATCTGCAAGACTGACCACCTCACTACCAATGGAAAAACAAGGTGTGTTTATGCCCTTGCTCTTGCCCAGCCACATGGTAGTACATTTATCAGGATTCATCATGAGGCCGTTGGAGAAACAATTCACCGAATTGCACCGAATTGCACCGAAGATGGTCGTCACCACCAGCGTCTTCAGTGGGTCTTTTACGTCCGCCTTACATTATAGGGTTATATAGTGAAGACGGTCCTTGTTCAAGAAAAATTTAACACAAAACTTTTAACACAAAACGTTTAACACAATATATACATTTAACTTAACTGCGCGACGTTTGATTCAAAAAGCTATTTATTTGATATGAATTGTTTCCCATAATCCTTACCACTTTATTGGAATACGTAAACCAAATGCATACGTGCATATGATCGATTTGTAAATACAAACCTTCACTATTATATCTTCATCAAACTTATCAGTCGAACTTAAAACAATTCGCTCAAGTTTTGCCCACATTATTATTGTATTTCTTTAGTATTATAGACGGTCGCTATCAAAAATTGTACAATGATAAACTAATCGAACGCATCATTTTATGTCATTCATAGCAACCATTATTTATCATTTGTTTTATGTCAAACACGTTATTAAGAGCGTGAATGACAAGGCAACAAATCTTGAGTCAACAGTGTGTTTATATTCGTACTTTCCGCATGTTTAGTTAAAGTTGAACACTAGAATTCCTTAATCACCAAAGCATCAGTTTTAGTTCAACAATGATTAAAAACGATGTGTGTGTTATCGGGCATTAGCTGGATTACAGTCCTGTAAATCCAGTAGTAAAGCTTAGTTGTCCGACCAACGGGCTCAGTAGCAAATAACGTTTTCTGACATCGGCGGCCAAGGACCGGCAGTGAATGTTTGGACTGAGGCGATTTAGTAAGAAGGTAGGTACTGTGATTCTTGAACATCCTAGCGGCTGGATTATGAAGACCAAACCGTGCCAAACCATAAGATATTGTTCATGATTAGGGTGTTGTTGCCCCAGTTTATTCCTCCATCTGTTGTCTAGCATTTATTTTAAAAGTATGTTTGAAGAATGGCTTTGACGGGATCTTGGTGTATATAAACATATAAAGTTTTACAACAAATTGGCTCATGGGTGCCTTTTTGACAGTAATTGATAAATGAAGTTGAAAAATGAATATCGTAATATCACCTAATTGAAGGCATAAAGGGCTCTCAATGGGCTAGACAGGGTACAGTTGATCGATGTAGATGTGATCTTTCTCTCTAAGCACACAGGATGACCGTAAGATAAGCAGCTGTATATTTTGAATATACTGAAGACAGCTTATTCCATCACGTGTAATGTAAGACAAACTAACAAGACGTGGTGTCAGTTTTGGTAACGATTTGAACTAAACACCGCGGTCACTAAGACCTTGACTATCGCCAAGAATGTGCGGGAAAGAAAAGCAGCTGGTGACTGGTTTATTGTTGTATAAAAAACAATAAAAAGACATCAATTGTATATATATAATTTGTTTTGAAAACGAATTTCATCGTATGCATATATGCCTCCAATTTCGATTCGGAGAATAACCGTAGCCATCCGAAACTAACGTCACTATTGTTACAAACGTTCTATACGGTGTTTATGTTTTCTTCCTATTCCCTTGCTGCATATAACACACCAACACAGTCCCAACTACAGTATCCACTAGTCATTATTCGGTTATGCATAAGATATTTGACCAATTGCAATTTCTTCATCGCGCAAGTTTCTTTCATTTCTCTAGTCGGAAGAACGACGCGCCAAGAGGGGATAAGGGTCTTGCCACTTTTCTAAAAAATAATTTGATGCATGCATCACTAAAACCAGATTACATTATTCCTGCTTATGAAGAATACTGGTTGCTATCGTGGACTTATCTTGATCATAGGTCAAACATACATCATTGTTACATTAAATCCTTTTCTTCAGTTGTAAGATAGTTCCCAGGATCAATGCAGCCCGCAGTGCAGTATCCAAAACCACCTCGGTCACCGATGGCGAGCTTGAGGTCACATCGTACTCTTTCCAACACCACAACAAGTTCTTTAGATGATGACAACGTTTCTTTGAGTTCTAGTTTTTCGGGTAGCTTAAGAAGAAGCACCGGTTTACCGAAAATATCTACCAGCGACTTTTCAGCTGTACGAGCAGCAGTAGGAATCTCGCGGATGAAGCATGGACGTAAAGGTTTGGATCGACTTTTGTAACATGGTCCTGAAGGAAAGGGGGGAGGGCGTTGGGAGGGCGTCCTAATCCCATTTCCCAGCCCCAATCTTGACCAAATCCCATGGTCTCAGCCTATGTTTTGCTCACATCTCAATCCCATTCCCATTTTTTGATTGTTTTTTTTCCTTCTGTTTGTTAATCCCATTCCCAGTGCATAAAATTCCATTTTCCCAGCCCCAAAAAAGGCAAATTCCAGCTTTTATTTTACCCCTTCTCAGGACCCTCTTGTAATAATGAGTATAAGCTTGAGCACTTGCCCGCACAACGTCAGGGCTTTGAATCAGTCTTGTATGACACATTTTCGTATCTTATACGTTGATTTATCATTTCAACATTTTTTCAAGTGCGCAAAGCAACAACACATCTTGAACACTACTCCAATACACAATCTGATGGCAGTAATCCTCGTGGCAGCAGACGTACAAGTACCATATACTCTCTGAGTGAGTTAGCAGTTGCTGGGGCCAAAGTGAAACGAAGAAAACGTAGCACACTTGAAACCTGGGGTAGACGAAGCACTGTCGGAGTAACCAAGTATTTTGATAAGGTGATCAAAGGCCTAGGATAAATCAGCTTTTTACCAGCCAGTTTACTATAACTAAACTAAGTAACTGTCTTATAGTATAAACCTGCTAAGGATCTGTCACAAATCCTGAGCTACTCATTAGGGATAGACCACTCTAGTAGCGAAAACCAGCAGTTTGAAAACCAAAACAAATTAACGAAAAAATAAATTATTCATTTATTTGACCTATTAGTAGGTTTATGCTAAAACAATTAGACCTCTCTCCCTCATGGTCTACAAGTCAATAGTTTGTCAGTAGGCCTCACGGGCTATTGACTCGTAGACCATTCGGGCTGCGGGTCTTATTGTAAATTGTTCTTGAAAAATAAATATTTTCTTTTCGTTTTCAGCCTCGAATTAAATTTGCTTGAGTCAGCTACTTTTTCGGGCTCCCCATTTTAATTCATATGCATGATACTGCTTCAGTTATATACAAATTCAAAGGCCTGGGATCTTTTTTTCAAATTCAATTTTGTTTTGCAGCATCTTCCGTCCGTAGAGCTGTTTAGACGTTGTGTTCGACTTGTACAAATGTTCGCATCCCTTTGTCAGTACAAATACGAAAAGTGAGTCAATGTGAACCCACCCTTCGTTTACTGTAAAATAAACCATAAATTTTCTTAAAGCCATTTTTATGAATGTTAATGAACATTGCTGTTGAAGGGAAAATGAAGATAACGAGGCCACTGCACACACAGTATTTACAGAGTACATCAACGAAGACGATTCCAAAATCGATGGCGGACTCGCCTTTGATGCTTCGTATTTTAAAGCAAATAGAAAGGTATGACATGCAGTATAGGAAAATAATCTTCACGCTAACCTATTATAGTAGCAAGGGCGGATCCAGGGGGGACGGCAAATAGCAGGAAAAAATTTAAAAATACTGAAGAATTAGATGCTTTTTTTATTGTTTCCCGTTGTGTTGATGAAAGAAACTCAATTAGCTCCCCCTAAACTCAATTAGCCCCCCCCCCACCCCTAAACTTTTGGCTGGATCGGCCCTTGAGTAGGTAATGCCATGTAGCAGTGTAGACCTTACTCACTTGTTAAAAAAGGGTTTTCCCAATTAATCAGACCACTTGCCATTTCCTTGCGACGGAGATCCTTTCTCGTTAAGTTTTCGCCCTTAGTATATCTTTCTAAAATGCTATTCAAGCTAATGCCGATGGCTTCTAAAATCCAATACCGACGCTAGTGCTAAATATGACGATTTTACTTTGACTTAGTGTGGCGCACCCTATAAGGATGGAGGATTAAAATGGAAGATATTAGAGACCGTGTAGAATGCAAGAGAGTGAAAGTGAGGGGTGGGGGTGTGTCTGATAGAAAGGAATATTAACGTGAACATTAGCCGTATTCCCTCCCCCTGATCCGTACCCTGACTTAGATCCATCCAGAGGTTGTCATAGGTTCGATAAAAATGATGTTGTTTAATGTTCTGTATATGCATATATATTTACTTTGCTGTGTGTGTTTGGTTTAGATGCGAGTCTCACAAGAGGTCAAAAACATTTTGTTAACACCCCCTGAACAAAGAACCGAGCAGCAATTAGCTAAGGTAGTTTGTTGCATCTGATATCACTCGTTATCACAAGGTTTTTTCGTGCGTCTCTCAACCCTTACTTGTGTTCGGATATTTTATTGTTAACGTCAAGAAATTTCATCCATTGAATTTCGGCTGTGAAAGTGCCCGTTTTTGGTTATAAATGAATATTTTATATATTTTAAACAAATTGTAAACGCATCGAGACTTTAAGATGCGTATCTAAAAATGTATATTATTATTATTATTATTATTATTATTATTGAAAAATCTCCCTGCACGAAACCTCTAGTTTTGACCACGATTATTAAGATAAAAGATTTCATTATTGCTATCATCATTCCCAAAAACTAGACCAAGACTGCATATCTCAGTTAAGATATTTACTCATACTTTCGTGTCTTTAATTGTTTCAGATCCTGTTTTCTTTGCGTTCGATTCGATCTTTTGCAGAATATCCCCAGAGAATACAAAACAAGTTAATAGCTGTTGGATGGTTCGAATCGTAAGTAACCGTAAATACAAGTATTGAGTTTGGATCATTATAATATTTGCTTTGATTTGCTTTGCTTTCCATCCAACACTCAGCAACATTCCATTGGTATATACTTGCTGTGGTTATGATGAATATATACTGCGTCAACAAGCTGTCTGCATTTTAGTTAGTTATGTTAATTGAATAGTTGCAACACTGAAAACAGGAATGCAGTGATGCTGTATGCAGTTGATAGGTGATAATATGCGGGTTTTGCGTTTCAGTTTAAAAAAAAAACACTAAATAATTATTACATTAAGGTTGTTTTGCTTTTATATATAGTTTATATATAGTAATCAAAGTATAAGACGCCGTTGGATTTTCAGAAGATATTGAAATTACTCTTGTCCTGTTGCGAATATAGGTTTATATTGAATGTGATACAACTTTGACAGGAAAGCGGCAGAGGTGGGGTGTGTCCTAATGCGCCGCCTCTCTACAAATGCGATTCCCGGGGTGGGTGTCTTATGCGAATAAAGATGCTTCAGTGTCGGCTCTGTGCCTCGAGGGCTTTTCTTTGGCTACTACGGTTTTCCTTGTGCCGATTCTTAGTGGCGATCTGGCGTCGAAGACTTTTCAAAACATGAGCCTCTGGCTCGGGAGACTACATCACTCCGCCATGCAGCAATCGACGTAAAAATAAATTTACACTGATTTTTTCTTGCATTGCAGCCATTCAGCCAAGAGAGCCATACTACGTCAAGGTCATATTCCCCAAGCCTTCTACTTTGTCCTATCTGGGTCAGGTAATACATTCAATCTAAAATGCATATTTTCTAGAGTCAAATCTTATGGAACAAATTCAATAACATTGAACATGCTCTAATCTTTATTTTCAAACATGTTTTAAAACAAATTTATATCACAATACTGACATAAAAAATCCGGGTCAGGCTTCACAACATCCCTGTGATTGGTCAGGTTTAGGGGCGGGGTTGGAGAAAGGTCATTGTTTTCTATTGTTCTACACATGTAGAATCACATCTTGCAAATTCGTGAAGGACGACCCAAAAATCTTCATTATTATTAGTTAGAACTAAACTCTATGGTCTTAATTGGACTACGGTACTTTGGCAAAAGCGAGCTTAACTAATTTCATTTTTAATGCTTCTTTTATTTTTGGTTTTACTCTACTTAGCTGTGGTAACAGTAATGGCCAAAAACGAGGCCTTTGCCAGGACAGTGCATTTTTTACGTCGAGGAGACAGCTTTGGGGTTAGTAAAATCGTTTGCTGATCAGACAACAAGACTTGAAGCGCTATGCATATCATTTCCAAATTGTCCAATTTAGGATATATATATCGCTTGGGCCAACAACAAACGTTGAACTTCACATGAGCAGAACCTAATGACATTAAAGAAGACCGCCTCATTATGCATATACTCATGTGAAGTTGGACGTTTGACCCTAGCCTTAGATATGAGTTGTGTTTTATTTGCTGCACTAAAGCCACCAAAATGTTTCAAATGTTATTGAGCCCCGAAACAACCGTTTTGCTTGAGATCGAAATGAAATTTAACCCGGTTTTGCGCAGGAAGGAAAACCAATGAGAAAAAACCTCAAAGGGAGAGACCTAAAAAGCGCACAATGGATGTCTTATTTAGGAATCGAACGCCGAGACCCAAGAGATGAAAGGCAAGGCACTACAGCGGAATATAAACATAACCTTTATTGACTTAAATTATTTATTATGATTGAAGGAATTGGCTATGTTACATGACACTCGACGTCAGTCAACGGTCATATCACGAGAACCAATCGAACTCTTGGTCATTTCACGAGAGGTGAGACTATTTGCTTTTTGCTCGCTTTTTTAAAAGTGTAGCTACGGACTAAAGTATAAGCTCTAATATCAATTAGAAATATTGCTTCCAACATTTCACATTCTCATTTTCAATTTCATAGGACTTTGTTGACATATTCATGTTAGCTGGAGGAATTAAAAATCTTAACGACCCTGACCATAAGAAATTCATCAGGTACGTAAAACAGCCTGCTTCCTGGCTTCCAACTCATTACAGCAATGCTATCTATTTCTGATTCATATCTGAGGCAAACAGTTTGCATTCACGACCATAAAATAATATGTGTCGAAAGGAATAATTTAAATATATAAACGGAAAATGTATGGTAAATATACTTAACCAAGACGACTTTAATAGCCTTATAGTACATACGGTGACTAGGTAGCCAAACGCTTTTTAACTTAAAAGTTAGTTTGATGTTTTGAGCCCTGCATGCAAGACCTCCAGCAGCTTACTGCCCAAAAGAATATTCTAGCTACTAGGGGTGCATGTTATTACGTCATAGCTTATATTGTTAGATCAACCAACATGGGGGCTGTTTCATTGTTATGTATAACTCTAGGGATTTTGAGATATGTGGTTGGACCAAGGGAGCACGTTAAAATTTTGATTGTGTTGGTTTATCTTCGATTTTATCGCACTTATTCTAAGATATGACAGGCGTTCTTTGTAGTTCTTGTTTACGTGCGCGCGCTACACTTCATGGCAGGCGTTCCTTGGTTTAGTCGAGCTAGCGAATTTACTCCGAAAACCGACGAATATCTTGCGAGGAGCGGAGCGACGTGTATAAAATTACACTCGTCATTCTCTTCCTTACACGATCGTAGGCCATTCGGATCGGCCGAAACCAAAACACTACGAGGAACGCCTATCACAAGATGGATTGCGCGCGCTAGATAGATCAACCAAGAACAATGACTTTCCTTACACAAACAAAATTTTAATGTGCTCCCTTGGTTGGACTCCAAGAATTGTAATGGGAAAGGAGTTTGTTTCTCAACTTACTGTGATATGAAAATTGGCGGAAAAACATCCAGCTATGATTCCGTTTTGCCGTATTTATTTACTCTATTTTTAGTATGATAACGACATATGTGAATACAGTTTATTTAGTTTGTATAGATATTTATTATTCATGATTTGCTTTCACAGAGGAATCGAATTTCTCAGAGGATGGCCAATAGAGTTACTTGGAGAGAATCCAAAAAAGTGCTTGTTCCATTTCTTCAGGTAGCGAGCATGCGCAGTGTTGAATTAAATCTAATATGGCCAATCTCGTATCCACATCCCTTACTTCTTACTGCTTGAGCAAGCGCAGAAAGAAATAAAGGTTCGGGTATGAGATTGTAACATGGCTTATTTTATTAATCCCCTTTTATAAATTACCGCAGAGTACTAACACCATATCTGTAAAAAAGTCATTTATAACTATCGTTAATGGCTACTTCGACGAAACGGCGACCATCTTGGAACGCAGGGCATTATGTGGCGTCCAAGGGGCAAAAATAGAGCTAATGTGATAGTTGGTGATATATTTTTCTTTATATTGCCTGCCATTATTACAGCCAAAGACGACACATCGATCACCCAGGAAAGAAAGATAAAAAAAACAAAACAAAAAAAACTCAATAAATCATCCGCTCTCTTTGTTTTATTTTGCCCCCCTCCCTGGACACCCCATAATTCCTTGCAATCTGAGATGCTCTGTTGTCCAAGTAGGACAATCGCATTTAAAACGATAGAAAACGATATACATTACACAACTTTTTGTTCTATTTTGTGCGAAATGATTTTGCTACTGTGTTTTACGAATTATATAAAACACTCTACTATCACTAATTAGCTGTTTCATATTTTCCTTTCTTCTTCTTCAGAAGCGGCTCCGTCCTTGTGAAAGACAGCAATCATACAGACTGGATCTATATCATTAAATGGGTAAATATAGTGATATTTCCAGTAAACGAACAACTCAGCACGGCCGCACCATGGCATTTTACAGTTAAACAAACCTTTTTTTAGCGAACGCCTATTAAGGGACATCATATCAGCCAAGGGCCCGTAGGTGTCCAGTGAAAACAGGTGCCATTATATGATGAATTACCTGGAAAGAAAATCGAAATAGATAAAAGGGTCATTTCTTGGAAGGGGGTGGGCTGGAGGAATCCAGGGAAGGGTCTTTGAGTTTCTATTCAGTCAAAGAGGGGTATCATCAAATATTTTATACTACATAAAGGAGTGCGTCAATAGTTCAACAAATTTCAATGGGAGGATCACTTTTTTATGCAGACAGAAGAAAGGGGGGCTAAAGATTTTACAATACTATTTAAAGGGATTCCTCGGGCCCTGATTTTATTATATTCCATTTTTAGGGAAGCTGTCGAATCCTTAAAAAACTCAAGCAAGTAAAGAGCCAGCTCACTGAGCATAAAGAACGAGTTGTAGGATTTGAAAATGGTATGCTATATCATCTGAAGTCACGCTGACTTGCTTGTGTTATGAACACGAATTCATAATAATGGTGGAACGTGCCGGAGAAGTGCGCGGGCGTAAACCTCTGACTACGCATAGAAAGAAATTAGTCAGACGTTCATACTGATTATTAACACGTAGAAACTCATATGAGTAGAGAGGGATAAAATGTCAACCACTGAAAAGTAACAACGGTTACAGCAGTTTTTATTTCCACAAAAAAAAAAAATACTGACCTGACTTTGGTGAGCTCTGGCAAAACAATGGTTCGTTATTATACATGACGCTAGCTCAGTCGAACATGTGACCAATGTCAGAAGAGCATTTTTTTATATAAAATCATTTTACAAAACCCTTTGGACTCGTTAAGAATGGACGTCATTGATACACTCAGTAAGCGGACACACATTATCAAACAGACACCTGCATGGTTACACATTTTTATCCTATATTTTACAGTAAAACAAACCTCTATTCAGCGGACAACTATATTAATCTTGCAAGGTCCCGTAGGTATCCGCTTAATACAGGTACCACTTTCTTGAAGATGATAACAAAATGATCAAAATGTTGTCTTCTTTTTTCTTTTCTAGTAAAAAGTTTTGTACCTAAAGCTGAATCTCGTTCAAGACTTGAACGCGTACGAACAAAGCTATCTGTTGTAACCAAGCTACTGCCCAAGCTGACGCTGCGTTCACTATCAATGATAGCAGATGAAAATGGTATGTGGGCACGTGTTGACTAAACCATGGCGGCTGGAGGGGGAGGGGTGGGGGTGATTAGAGTTGATGACTTAGCCTAGTACTATAACTGCGTTCTTGTCTTTGTCTACTACTTTAGAAGTAGATAAGACATCTAGTATCCGGCATGATGAAGGTGCATATATTGAACAAGTTGCCGTGGCACAAGGAATTCTTGCTCGATTTCGTCAAAAGAGACCTTCTGCAATACTTGATGACATGTCTTTCCCTGGAGAAATGTCAGAGAACTCACCATATTCGTCCACACGTACGTCTCCAGAATTAAAGGCCCGCAGGGCTTCAAGTCCCGCTAAACAGGCTGTGACGAACCGTAAAAAGTTGATAGTTATTGATGGTTCTGTTAGTAGAAACTCGTCTTTTTCTGCTAAAAAGAGCGCAGGCGTCCATGTGGAAGAGTCGCATAATAATCGAAAGGTATTTATCTGTAAACTTCTTACAAGCACGATATGTGTTTGTAGGTATATATCAAGTCCCCGGTCCGCTCTACTTCAGAGAAAATAGAAAGGTCATGTCAGAGCTCCGGCAGCAACGGTATTTCAGGGTTTGCTAGTGAATCTGAGTTTGTGGGAAAACGTACTTGATGCCCTAGCTAGTGATGAACTAATATGTCATGCGACGTATCTTTGTGATGATACCTTTGTTTTTCGGGACCGCTTAAGAGAATATTATCATGAAATTATTTCTTCCCTTCGTTTTGATTGGCCGATCTAACTGTAAATAATTGCCTATAACTAATGGTAATATAAAAATGCTCATGCAAATTACGGTGCAAAGTATTTTGCTGCAAACAATAGTTTGCTCCTGCGCATTAACGCTGCGCATGCATTTGTCAACATGCCTCGTTTACTTGTGTTGTCAGAAAATCACTTGGCATGAATGAATGAATGAATGTACGATAGAGTCGGGAAAAAAAATGAAACAAAAGCAAAAATAATTTGAATGATAAAACATGCAATCATTGCGCTCGATTATCACAAAACATCGTGAATCGTTAGTGTCTTGCTGCAGCAATTATTGTTTGAACATCGGCCAATAATTGCTTAATATTTGATATCAAGGATGAAACTCAAACGAAGAATCTTCTTCTTGTCAGTGTTGAAACAGGAAAACGTTTTACCCACATCAAAAGTTCAAATCAAATACTAAGTATTTAATTTTTCTTATTTTTTAGCTTTCAAGTCCAAAGTTTCAACGTTCATCGTACGACAAGTCATCTGAAAGTAGTTTATCGCATGCCTCTCAAGAAGAGTCTCCTGGTCCAGCCACAAGTTTCATGAACCAACGCGCAAGATCAAGGCTATCGACAAAAAGTAACGGTAAATAATACCATCTAAATCATAGAATCAAGTTTTATTTCTATAATACTTCACCAATGCACAAGTTCTTGAGGTTTAGATATAGGTCACTCGGGGCAATTTGGGTCTACCCTCAGTTCTCTGTAGAGAATACTATTATCAATGAGGTTCCCATGTGTTATGGAAATGGTTGCACAAACTGGACCAATGAAAGTGTATACAATTTAAGATAAGTAGAAATCATAATCATAAATCAGTTAATTTTTTATTGATTTATTACCAAAGAAGTAAATAAAAAGGAAAATGACGAAGAAGAAAATTTTCCAAGACAGAAAATATCTGTTATCGATGAAGGTGCATTAAAACAGGTGAGTCAGTAATTGGTCCACTCCTGTTGCAAGTTCTGTTTGCTCTATGCACACACTGTTTATATCCCTCACACTGCTTGTATCTTATTCATAAGAACGAGGTGCAATTCACAGAAGCTGATCGTCACCCAGTATTCGTTCAAGTGGCTTTACTTTCCAAAGGAGATGTGTTTGTGAGTATAATGCTTCTTGATATTATATTTAAAAAAATATAAGTCAGCACTGAATCAGTTCTCTCTGTATAGTCTTTGAAAATAAAGTGTATCTATATTTTCTATTTTACCATACCCATAATACTTTGCGGCTTTAGGGGGTAACCAAAGGAAGACATCAGACATGGTTGAAAATACCTCGTTTGATATCCGAATGAAGAAGTAAAAAAACAGAAAAAGGTAGAAGCTTGAAGAAGTTTAAAGGAAATTTTAAAAATTTTTTCGTAAGTCAATACATTATTTGTAACACCAAACCTCTTGATGTTCTGTACACGCAAAATTAACTCGGAATAAACTGATAATCAGTACTGTAAATAAATAAAATACGAATAAATCCACTTTATTTACGTCTCAATGTAATTAGCTCTTCAGAGCTAATTGTGGAGACAAATTAGAAACTGAAATAGATAAATATAAACATAATACTGTTATGAAATCCCAACTGGCAAGTACTGTACAGATAAAAGTAGGTATAGTATATATTCAATTGAAGAACGTTTCAATTAGGGTCAGTTTTTTGATTTTGATGAAGCAAAGTATCATTAGCTATGGGAAAGTAGAAAATAATTTTTAAATTAAAAAAAGTAATTACTAGGTATTGCATTTATTTCTATGCATTTGAAAGGAAGAAGGGAGAAGAAAGAAAGGCGTTTATTTGTCAAGTTAACTGAACTTAATAACAACTACGCCCTATTTCTATAGTTTGATGTCGGCTTTGAATTTCGAAGGAAAACCCGTCCAGGGTTTGAAATTGAACATTGATACTAACAGGGGAGAGCACGGCTGAATTCAAAACTCGGGACAAGTTTTTCCATCGAAATTCGAACCCTAGATCAAACATTAACAATAGGGCTTGATCGTTTTTTAAACCAGTTAAAACGCACGTGCTCGGATTTGCATTAAAATTCAAGACCTCGGGCCTGTGGCCCTCCTCGCCATAACGTTTTAACCTTTATCTAATATTTCATTCTTCATAGGGGGTGTCATCTATGCTTTTCGATGATCAGCCAAGCCTCAGTCTTGTAAGCATTATATGTTGCCCAGTTCAAATGTTTGTTTATACATAGCAAGTCAGCATTTTTCAGGAATTTGATCTATTTATTCACATTTTAGTTAGGCATGTATTACTAAACGATCTTCGTTTCAGGTTAGTAATGGAGCAGAATGTATAATGATATCAAAGAAATTCTATTTGTCCCACTGTACTGATAGTATGAAACGACGGCTTCTTACTACAGTAAGTCATTGAGTTTCTTACAAACTTAACCTGCCTACTATGTTTAATTCGACCCAAGAGGTCAGTGTTACATTGAGTCACTGATGATACTGGGTCACTAGGGTCACTGGTGATACTGGGTCACTAGGGTCACTGATGATACTGGGTCACTAGGGTCCCTGGTGATACTGGGTCACTAGGGTCACTGATGATACTGGGTCANACTGGGTCACTAGGGTCACTGATGATACTGGGTCACTAGGGTCCCTGGTGATACTGGGTCACTAGGGTCACTGATGATACTGGGTCACTAGGGTCGCTGGTGATACTGGGTCATTAGGGTCCCTGGTGATACTGGGTCACTAGGGTCAATGCGTAGTTAAAGCTAGCAAATGGAGAGAAAGAATTTGTTAAATACTCACTCGTGCAACAAGCTTTTTGTACTAATTATTGCAATGATCTAAAGATTCTTTTATATTGACAGGAAACACCGTACCCAGATGAAGATGCTCTTCAACGAAGTTTACAAGATAAGATCAACTGGGATGCGTACAAAAAGAAAACTTTACAAGGGGTAGTGAAGAACATAAATTTGCGACGGCAATTTGAAAATCGTCAATGTCATCTGAAAAATCAAAACAAAAAGGATACTGATCTTTGTGAAGAACTGAAATCTTATCTGAATAATGTACAGTCCCAATATCTAGAAAGAAAGTGAACTATGGATTATTACAAACTGCAGCTCGCAAAATATCTATTTATTGATAAGGATAATATAGCATATAAAAAATCGTCTTTATTAAAAGCTGTAAGACCTTTAAAATCGATACTTTTAATTGGCTATATTCCTACCAGCTGAGCGATGAATTTTGTGGCACCCAATCATAGCGCGTTAGGCTGTTTTGCCGCCGGCCCTCATTCCCAGGCTACTGTAACCCAACTTTTGCGTAATATTATGTTTTCTTTTGACTAAAATATAATAAATGTGTCTACAAGAAGCAGAAATATGGAAAAGAAGAATAAAAATAAAAACACTTTCACTTTACCGCCATTCCTGCTTCGTTCTTTCATGCTGAGGGCCGTCATTTTGTCCACTCATGCTTTGCGCGCCGCGCTCACCGCTCAGCTTATAATTGGCTATATTCACTTGTAATGAAATGCAAAGTAAAACTGTGTAGTAATGGCCCTTGTGTATTTAGGCACTTGTATGCAAGAATAATACGCAAGCTTATACGACAACAATTACCGTAGCAGGGCAAAACACATGTACCTTTCTGCACATGCTTTCATGTTTTCACCCTTCTTGACTTGCTTTCAGTTCGACCCCCTTGAGCTGCGCCATCCTTTACTTGTGGCGATAGTTCTTTAGTGATAACGTTTTTTCTTCTACTGTTGTTTTGTTGTTTTTTTTCTCGTATTGTATTGTATTGTATCTTTTTTTTTTTTTTTTTTTNTTTTTTTTTTTTTTTTTTGCTAAACGTGACTTGCAGAGGAAACACAACAACCTAACCACTTGCCCTTAATTTCCCGTAGCTATGGATCGCACAATACCCGGCGCGTGCTCCAGCTTAACTTACGCCGCTCCCTTCTATTATTGATATATTTTAGCTGACGATGAACAAGAATGTTATGAAATACAATGGCGCGCGTTTGCAAGAAAAAAATGTTTAAAAACAATGAACACTTCTTTAAACAAGCTGAACAACCAAGTACTGTACTCTAGGATTTTTCAGTTTGGATGATAGACAAGCAATAACTTATTTAATCTTGTTTATATTTACTAAGCTAGATTTCCAAGCGTTCATTTTTTATACGTACAAGACAGCGTAGGAGGAAAAACAGCCGGAGACTGAATCAGACAACTCGGATACTATTGTACGAAGAGAGTATGACGTAGGCGGTATCTTACAATGCGAAAACGCTTTTGCGCAACCATTAAAGGCAACATAACTACTTGGCTGTACTTCGTGCTTGGTTACGCAATAGACAGAAATGAAAAACCACTCTAAGCTGTGCCGAACTGAGACCACTGCCGGCTGCTGTGGTGCTGTAAAACATAAGTTAGTATTCGTTTTGGCTTGGTTTTACCAAGTAGAGTCCCGCTAAGATCAAATCAAGAAAAAAACCACAATTAGTTACTACTGTTGAGTAATTTAAGCCTTTTGATGCATGGTTTACAAATCCATACGAAGTGAGTGATCTTGACCAAATGAATGAACTGAATGTTAAAGCTATGCTAGCCAGATGAATACCACTGGACCTACCAACGATCAAGTCAGTAATGAGCTTGGTTTATTCGTGCGAACACGATAAATATAAACAGCCATCTGCCTTAGTAATAGTGTTGGAGTGACAGTGTCTTTGGAAAGACATTGTATAGACAACGTGCTTCGGTACATAAAAGCTGGTTGAAGGACTTTATTAGTGCTTCATTATCGTCTTTTATTGACTTTGTTGATTGATCATTAAAGCATCAGACGTATCGGTAAAGTTGGTTTGTTTACTGAGTTTACTTCTAACACCAACAGTCCAAACGACTGATCTCTTGTCTTAAAATTTGACTTGCGCATTTAAACATTCCTTAAGTTCTTTTTTCATTTGATCATTTTTGGTGTGGTCACCCAGTAGCAAGTAAAGTCACCACGCTAGTGGTGTACATAGATTTCTTTGATGAAATGAAAAATCTTTTTTCATGACTACGAAGTTAAACTTAATCCAAGCACGATTTATGCTTTGTCAAACTATAGACTACTTGAGCTACATAACACCCATTCTTCAATACAAAAGAAGCTATTTAAACGCATCCTAAGCCTTTTGACATTGTATTTAAGATCGATGCTGTCTATTTTTTATCAAGACTCTCTTTGTGTCACAGTTTTGATTCTCATGTTACATATATACCTCACCGGTATCATTATACTTGTATTTGGCAATTAACATGTCTTGACGTCTTGGCAGCCATGACATGTTGTGGTTACTGCAATCTGTGCTCGGTCTGCCGTTTGATTACACCAGGTTGGTTAATGTTAAACAGGGTAGTTGCACAGGGGCAACTAAATCCAAGACAATGCGTAATACCTCACATGGTGAAACGTTTTCTTATAAAGCAAATGAATAGACTGAAAGAAACCCCGTAAAATGATAGGATCGCTAGAAAACTCACTTCAAGATCGAAATTACACAATCGGCCTGGAGTGAAGAAAATAAATTAATTTAGAAAATCAAAAGAGATTTTGTTGTTATGATCAACAAATTCAAAAATCCGAGCTTCTGACCCTCGGACTTTTCAAGCAGTTTACAGCTACTGAAGGAGCAAACTGAAACGAATACGTCGAAACGAAGATGCTTGCTAAGGTGTTCTCCTAAGTCCCCAAAAGTCCCGTAAACTTTTAACTGACATACCAAGTCGGCAAGATCTTGCTGGAACCATAGTTAATATGCTTGATCATATCAGTGTTTTTTGGGTGAAATTTTTAGTGTTTTATGTTGCTGTTTTTGAGTTATTTAAAAGGAAATTGTGGTGGGTTAAACTAGTAAAAGGAAAATGCGAAACAACCAAAAACAAAATAAGGTTGAATGTGTTATGAAAAAGCTGATGAATAGTATAGTGTGATATTTATTTCTCATATATGTATTACTTTAAAGCTGGTAATGTAGAATTATAATATTTAGTTGTTGTATTTTCACGTTTCCTTACAAATTACTTCTTCAAGCATAAGTACGGATACTTTATCCATCCATTTTTCGTGAACCCCTTGGCGACAACAAGTCTTTCAAAAATGCGGACTAAAACAGCAAACATAGCTACATGTTTTCATTGTTACTCTAATCAGCAAGATTTTCTTAAACACAAATTGTATGTTTAATTAATTGACTGATAGCAAATCGCAGCTCAACACTGTATGATAGATTTACGAAGGTCTTGACCTTAAGCAGAACTAAGCCGTAATTTACTTTTTAACTAGCATGCAACAATAGCTGTTTCATTTAGTTAAGCCGGTTACAGATAGTAACTGTGTACGGCAAGTGTAAGCGCCTTCAACTCCAACAACAAAAACGGCGATAAACAAATGAAAATTGTTATTTAATTGGTGCTTAACGTTCAAAAAAAGTCTAACTGAAGAGTAAGAAAAAGTAAGAAAAAAATCAATGTTTACTGCGCAAAATAACTATAAAAAGCCAACTGAACATGTTTGCTTAAATTTTGTGAATAAAGAAATTTGAATGAAAGAAGAATATTGACTAATTGTATTAGAGTTTCAAAAAATGTTTTCGGGATGATTGCGAAATATTTTCCGTTGCGATCTCGAAAGAAAAGCGAGATAATGGATGCTGATTGCTTTTTGCTTTACTTTAAGGTGGTACTTTAAAAATAGAAGTGTTCAAAGCGTCGTAATATAAGTCACKGGCCAAGCCTCTCAGAAACCAGACCCTGCGGTTCTATGTTTACAGATTTCGGACGCCTTCACTGAATATACTCTGCTTTGGTTAGAGAATAAAAAATGTTTTAGTGTCAGGCTAAATTGATCTCATGTCAGATTGCCAAATTCTAAGATTACAAAAGCATGATGGAAAATACAAAAAATGCAATAAAAATAAAGAATTTTAGGTATCCAAATGTTGGTCTTTGTCGTTATGAATTTGTACTTCTTCGCTTACATCACACCGTGTAGTGTGGGAGAACCGTGTTGGATCATTTACTGGGTAATAGGAAATCCCGGTAGCTGTCATAGAAATAGCTGTCATTTATAGATCAGTACCATGTTTCTGGACTTCAAATAACAGACATAGAACTCTTTTATTATCAACTGAACTTTAGGTAGTGGCTATGGACCGGTAGGTGTTAATGCTATGTTGCCGCGGATCATTATTACTATCAGATTCCATCGCGGAATGCCACGGAAAGCGTGCAAGGGTGACTGCAAACAAGTCAGTGGCGGGATGTTTGAGACGTCAACGTGTTTTGTACGTACTAAGAGTATTCGGGGATCGAGAATGATCTTGAACATCTAGAAGCAAGTAATGGCCGAATAGATTTAGGGTATTAATTATGTATGTTTGGTCTTCTGGAATGTTGGAAAATGTTCTTCCTTGGCAGGTGACCAAATGATGACCTTAACTGGAGTCTTTGCTTTTAATAAACACGAAATCAGTTCAAAGCACCAAGATGTGATGTGAGCTAGCAGCAACGTTAAGATAAAAGACCAATTTTGGAAATAAGTTTGTAATGAGCAGTAAGCCTACTGGATTAGATAATGATGGTGTCATTACTCGAATATAGAAATCTTTTAATAAAATCTGTCAGTCAAAATCAAACCCACATCTATCCTTCCAGTGACATGTTTTCTTCGCTTTATTTTCTCCGCTAATTTGGTTTGCATTGTCATTTTGATTTCAGCAGTAGAGTTCTAAATCATTGAAGTATATCTAGCAGTAACCTGATTAAAAGTCTTTTTTTAAATCGCTTGTTCGGTTGCATTTTCCAATTAATGTGTTTTACTAGTACTATATACTGAACCACGTGATGTCAGCCAGCAGTGAGTCAAATAATTAGTTAATACGTACTGCCAATGTGTCTACCTTCGTCCAATGATGTGGTTAGTCATTCAGTTGAAATACCTAACAAACATATCCTGTAATTAGTTCAACTCCAGCGCACCATTTTCAAGAACATTTATGATAGACTATTCCTAAACTAACCATAAACGTATCATACGAAGAATATTTGGGAAGCGTTTTTGTTTATTTCGAGTGGCAGGTCTTTGAGATCGCGGACTCCTGCTGAAAATCTTATCAAGGAAGGGGAATCAAACTACGATCTTTAAACAGTAAGACTTCGGAAGGTTAATTGAAATAATAGGGTTTCATTATCACAAAGCTGGCGGCTATCTTGGTGGTAAAATGATGCCTTCTGTGATGCAAATGCTAATGACCTCGTGTGTGCTCAATCCAGTGTTAAATATGGATGAATGAATGAGTGAGCGAGTGGTTTATTCAAAACTTGTCTACACGTAGATACTTAACGATGTAAAGGTATTTGGACATCGATATCATCTTTAAGAGTAAAAATTTGAAAAACCCACGAAAAAACGAAGCTTTTATTTACTAGTACCCAAGCACAGTTCAAGTGACATGAACTGTAAGCCAACACTAAGAAGTTTCAGAGTATTACAGAAACAGTCTTTGGCCATCTGTACTCCAGGCCTTGACCACAAAGCCTTTCCTAGGCCTGCACTATAGATAACTTCACCGAGGGAGTAAATTAGGCTCGTGATGTCAAAGACAACAAATAGCTCCACGTTGTGAGAATCGTTTATCTAATTTTTAATTATGATTCAACCCTAAACTTTTGCCATTGATTTGTCTTTTTTCCCCCTTAAACTAAAGGGATTGCTTTTGACAGCAGATTGGAACTGACCGATCCAATCTCCAATTATCTAATTTTTAATTATGGTTCAACCCTAAACTTTTGCCATCGATTTGTCTTTTTCCCCCTATACTGAAGGGAAAGCTTTTGACAGCAGATTGGAACTGACCGATCCACATATGTCAGTGTTCTGACCTAGTGTTATGTATAATGCACCAAAGCCTAAAAAGGGTTGAATTAATAGTCAAGGTAATATCCTATGTACAATCTCTAAAGTGGGTTATGTGGTTAGGAGCTTTCGAATTAACTCATTTTTTTACGTCCATTTTTAAACGCTGCTGTAGCCGGCCACATAAATGATCATCACTCATTCACTCACTCCAAGGACTAGTGAGAAAAAAACTGATTAGGGACGACCCTCAGCTTTTTAGTATTGTCCTGGCTCGTCATGTTCAGTTATCAATATGGAAAGTTTAATAGAATAAGGTTTGTGTTTCATCTTTGAAGGTCTGGAATCACGGGGATACAAAAAAACAACTTGAATTATTTAAAAGATCATCCCTGAATGGTTAATGAAGTCTTTAAGAAATAATAATTAGTCTTTAAGTAGATAGACGTACTAGATGTTCAACTAAACCAACATCAAATAAGCACAATTATCACGTGAATCATATTTGCAGGAAAATACCAGATAGAACATTGATGTCTTTTTTAAAAGATTGTTCTTATGTTTTGACATTGATATAAGAAATCTCACCGCAGTCAAGAAATTCCCAATTTAATTCATGGCTGAATTTAACTTTTCATTTAACACAATTAGTGCTACATGTCAGCAATCTTTTGCTATTTGCCATCCAGAACGGGTTTAAGGGTGACTAACGGTGACTTATAAACTCAGTTTTTTTCGACCAAATGTTGCTGCTGATGATGATGACGGTGATGAAGATGGCGATAAGTGGCTGAGTGATAAGCTTGATTTCATAATAAGTTTAATTTAAAAACTCTTTCAAATAGAATAGCAGCACACATATGTTTTTTTAAAAAAAATCGAATAACTATTGCTTTGCTTTAAAGTTGACTCGATTTTGAAGCAATAGCCGTACCAAATTAACGCGAGCATTCACGTCTAGTAAGCAATCGTTTGAAAAAAGAAGCTAGGAAAAACGTCATTAAAAATGCAAAATTTAGGAAAAAATAAGATGGAAGTGGGTTTGCAAATTYTTATCTTTGTGATTGAAGCGTCAATGCTTTAGTCCTTTACGGTTATCTAGGTGCAAAAGTGAAATTAAAAATTAAAGAGATAGATAAGTATCTTTATGGCTGCAGGGGGAAAAATTCCAGCAGTCATTGAACTTTTGAAAATCAACAATCGGCTTATTATTTGTGATAAAAGGAAAAAGCTGTTCCATTCAAAATCAGTTAAACAGTTTTTATTTTCTTCAGATTTTTGTGAAGACTCCATACAAGGCGCTATACCAAAACAGTCTTTTCTACTTGTTAAGTTTTGAATAAAATCCTTGAAGTTGGTTTTACAAATTGCTGCGTATTTTATGAATTGTCTTATTTTTCTTTTTTCCGGTATCATTGTTGTCCTTCCATTTTCAATCGTTTTTGGTATCTTTTGTGGAACACATCTCACAATCGTCTGAATTTCAGGCCAAAGCTAATTCTTTTTATTTCTTTTGTATAAAATCAACTGAAATAAGCGAGAAAATTCTATAAAGATATGAAATATGGGATGTTTATGTTCTACACAGACTTTAAACACAAGAAACTTTATACATTGAAGCGAGCCATCTTGTTTGTTTAAGGTGAGAAGTGGAACTTCTTTTGTTTAGTTAACCATGTCCATGACCTAAAGCTTTATCGAAGAGATTTAAGTCTTGTGAATTGGGCGAAAAGAATGAAAGAAAGTATGACTATACTATCATAAGAAAGTCTATAAAGTGGAAACTATGTAAACTTTTAAATGCCGGCAGAAATAAAATTGACCGTGTTTTACTTTTGACAACTTGTCTGAAACTGACAGGGAAAAACTAATCGAGGTCAACAAAATTCATATTCCCCTGCATAATAACAAAACCACCCATAATAATATCCTCTAATGGAGTTCAACGAAGTTAAGCGCGAAAACAGGCGTATAGCGGATGCCGTCGTGGGACATTAGCAATGGTCTATAATGGATTTTTAAATTTGGACAACATCTGTCCTACTGGCTAGGTATTGCTCGCTTTATGGCGATAAACAATGACTTCAATTCATTTGGATGAAATTTGGCTTGGAACAATCGTGATACATTTACTGTCTATGTAAACAAGGCGAATCTCAGCAGACCTTCATATATTTAATGCTGCGTTTTGGATTCTGCATTATTTATGACGTTGGGATGTCATTTGCAGTGGTGGTCAGCCATTTCATGTTTTGGATTATGTTCGCCATTCTTTTCTCGTCAGTAACTTTAGAGCACAGACCAAAAATGTTTTCCGGTGCTTTTGAAGAAGTGTGGGCACCAAATAGGTTCTTTACTMTTTTCCTTTTCCTTTTCTTTATACTTTTCGAAAAAGGGTTTAAGTGCGTTCCGGTAAGATGAATAGCGAGATATAAATCCAAAAATGTCGCATAGTGGTGAATAAAGAATGGTGGGTTAAAATGGAGTTTGGCACGTCATTGAATTACCTAAACAAGCACGTACTATATATATAGATTTTTTTCTTTTACCAACTTCCGCATCGGCTAATGCTTCGTCATGAAGCTCGACATGGCGACCATCAATATGTTCTAACTAACCAAACTGGCATCGAAAATCAAAAGTTAAATACAAAAAACGGCCACGTTCTGATTATGAATACAATTGTTATAAAGTAGTAGTAATAGTAGGAGTCATCAGTAATGTTTGGTTTCTGAAGTCACTACTTTACATCTGGATGTTACTCACTGACTAAGAATTCGAACAAACCCTTGAAAATGCGTTAGAAGTGTTCAGTAGTCGGGTGAAAAATCAAGTCGTTAAATGTTCATTATAAAATCATCACTAAGCAATGTAAAGCTAACCTCTAGCTCTGCATAATATATCTTTCTTTATTCCGTTTGTTTCTGGCCTTCGGTCTCTCATTCAAAATAAAACAAAATTATCCTATTTACAATGAAATGAACTAATGAATGTATGAAACGCGTGAAGTTTATTCCCTAAGATAGAGATAAATGTTGAAATGTGTCACTGATGCGCTGCTAATGAAGTTTTTTGTGGGTAAGAACGAGTCAGATGAGAATCCACAATAACGACAAGTAAAGAAATATATATATATTTTTTACAAATTCTTTAATTAATAATACATGCTTTAACAATCAATGTGTTTTTTTGGTTGTATTTGTCAAGAGCAGAAGAAGCATTAGTTAGGAATACTTAATGTTTAAAATATACAGAGTTCGAACTACTTTTAAATCATCATTTTCAAAAGACGTCAATGATGGACAAACATGAAATAGAGAGTTAATTGCACGAAATGCTTTAATGATAGTAAGACCACTGTTTTATTATCTAAACATATCACCTCTGATAGATAGACCATGCCATCAACGCGAGCCTTTTTGTCAGCATCTGGTTCTAACCTGGCAGCTCGTCACGTGACAGCATTAGGATAAAACGAAACTGACCTTGAAGTTCTGAAGTATTATTTGCATCGTGTCGGTCAGAGAAGATAGTTGGTCAATCTGAAATAATAAAAAAGAGAAAAACCGAAAGAAGCCTTCAAGGTAAGAAGAATGCTTTAATTTCATATGTTCATATGTTCATTGACTCTAGGAATTTTTGAATACGAGAGAATAGTATACATTAGTATATTAAAATGGAACCTTGTCCCGAACTGACGCGATGCTTGTGCACTTTTAGTGGTCGCATATCGTTTTTTGCAGCAAGAATGAGCACTCTTTTCCTGTCTCTCTGTTCTCGTGGTAATTATTTTATTTTGGTTTTGTGTGCTCAAATGAAAAACATTTTGAGAAGAAAAAAGTTTTACCTCTTACGGTCTGAAATTGCTCCTAGAGACAGCATAGTACGCCTCTTGAAAAAGGAAACTTTGACGACAAGCGGTATACACTTTATTACTCAGTACATCATGATCATAGTATACACTACTTGGCAGAAAAAACAAGTACCTTGCGGTGGTTCCCTTCTGACAATATATCATCCAAGGAATTAAGAGAGTTAAATTTTCAGTTTCTCTATTTCATATCACGATTCTATTATTCCAGGGTATATTAGTACTTATGTTACTTGTTGTATCTGTAGTTTTACTCAACCCCGTTCGGTTGTCATATATAAATATAATTGATGTCCTAGCACAAGCTGAACCTTTCACAGTTTGTTTAATAAGACATCATACTGAGTGACTCTTCTCAATTAGATAATGACTTAACAAATTATCACTGTTGACTTGGACAAACCGATCTATAAATTCCCTATTTTCTCACTAATATTTCGTTTGTTTCAATCTATTTACAAATTTGTAGTTTTCTTTTGTGTCAGTGTTAAAACGATTCAAAGCACTCGCTGCTCGGGTTCATGATAGCATAATTAATCTAGATGGGTTTCTTAACTGCCGTATAATGGCTTTGAATGGCAAGAACATAAACTCCAAGCCGAGTAATTACTGGGAATTGCATCAATTATGGTGCCCTTAGAAGTCATTGTTAAATCACTTGATAGAGGCTTTTATTTTTGCTTTTTGTTAGTTTTCTTTTGATTGAATTTAAATGCTCTTTAGTTCGTCTTTTAAAAAACCCAGATGGGTCATGACGGTTGAAAAATACAGTTGAGCTCACTAAAAATATCTCTTGAGTCATGATAAGAATTAGTAATAATACGCTGCGCTTATGGAACAATCGACCAAAATACTTGAGTCACTCCGCCTTCTGTAGAAACTTTCAAAAGATGAATAAAGTCTTATTTAACTCATAGACAATATACACCAACCGAAATATTTGTACATATATACATATTTTTTTTGTTTTTGTTTTCAATTTTATGTAATGTTAAACTTTTTTTTAATTTAGCTTTTCATTTTTCTATTATTTTAGTCTAGACCGATTGTTATTTCTTTTTTTTTTCAGCGTGAAGAGGAAACATAGTTTGTGGGGTTAAGATGGAGTCGGCATATTTTGTGCAAGGCTTCTCTCAACAGGAAATAGACAACGCACTGTACGGTTACATTCGTGGGTTTACTGGAAACTCCTCCACAGCACATGCTTTATCAGATATTGACTTTAAACAAGGACCCAGCGGTGGTAAGCTACTTCTGAATACATTTGTGCATCTTTACGACTTTTTGAAACAGGACAAAGACTAAAATAGATACTACGTTATCAACAAGGAGTGCTTTTTCAAGGAGAAGCGGGCGTGGGTTCTGTTGTTTGAAATGAATTGTGTTGAGCCACGGGGGATTAACCAACCTGATTGCACTTGTCTCGAATATATATAATACTTGTTCCAAAAGTGTCGTTTGTATCTTCACTCTTCTCCTTTAGAATGTATGTCCAAAAATCAAACGCTAAATCAAACGCATAATACTAATATATTTAGTYAGTAAGCCAGGGAAGCCAGGCATAAGCTTATTCGTTTATTTAGTTCACTGGCCATGGTCTGCATGGGTTGCTAAGCCCGGCGGGTTCTTAATGTCAAAATGGAAATCATTAGGTTTTAATCTCTGCTATCGTAATTCTTATTGTTTTAGTTCATGAAAAAGAAAGTCGAAGTTCCAGCCTGCAAGGGACTAACCGGAATTGGCTGCCATGGCTTCATCAGGTTCCAGTGTGCCATACGTTTCCTTCGTTGATAGAACAACAACCTGTAGATGACTTTACAGAGCCTCATCAGAACATCCTACCAGAAGGACTAACAATTGTTACCACATCGCTTCCAGGAGCAGATGTAAAAGGCGTGTTTAGTGTCCAGAACATCATAACAAAGGGTACACGGTATGGTCCGTACACTGGTCAAACAATCCATCCTGATGAATGCTCACTGCCTAACAGCAATGCACTATGGGAGGTTAGTTACAATTTGAACATTTCATCATTTCATTGATAATAATTTTAATATTTCTATAGAGCAAAATACATTATATATAGGATCTAATGCATATGATTGATGATCTAATTCATTGCAAATTCTTCCATTTTGAGTTCGCCTTTGCTCAGATTTGCCTCAATGGTACGTGTGCAAATGTAATGTTATGTAAAGGAATGTAAAAATGATGATCTTCAAATGACTTGACAAGTTATGTTATCAGGAGTACGCTTTTGCTAAGCATAATTAGCACTTTACCCACCTGTTTTAACCTGCGTTAGGTTTTGATAGTTTATTTTTTTAAGTCTCTTGTTGGGTACCATGAATGAATTGCCACCGACTAGAGCTATTATTCACGGCTCATTTACTTTTGCAATCTAGATTTTCCAAGACGGAGAATTGATCCACTACATTGATGGTAACAAAGACACCAATAACTGGATGAAGTTTGTGAAGTGTGCAAGGCATGAAGGGGAACAAAACCTCATTCTAGTGCAGGAAGGAAGCGATCTCTACTATGAAGTGTCAAAAGATATTTATGAAGGAAGCGAGCTGTTGGTTTGGTATGGCGATAGATATCTCAAATACATGGGTATTCCTATAACTATGAAAACTAGGATTACGACAATGGATTCCGAAAACGTCAATAGTCTTGGTAAGTATATCTCGCTTAAAGATATTCTTTAAATGCTCCCATTTTCCTTAGCCAGCCGAAGGACTATTTGCTCAAATAGGAAAGTTTACCAGCTTTTAAAACAAGTTTTGTAGTTTTTATCTGTAACTTGTTTTTTCAGAAATACAATACTACCTAACTTAGTCATGTTGAATATTTGATTTGAAACCAGTTAAAAACGAATAGATTGAAACACTTATGAGTCAAATGGGAGTCCGGCAAGGCAATAAGATAGATATGAGAAGATAAACCAATTACTGTGGGCGTAATCACTTACACCGACGAAGGACTAACGTCCGAAACGTCAGTTTCACAAAGTTTCCTGCTATTTTATTCAGAAACACCGACGCAGTCCACGCTAGTACTCTACTAGTTATCACCACTCAATTACTGTGGGTGTGTCTGATTTAGTTGAAAGACTTGCCTAAGTTGGAGCAACAGTTCCACAAACAGCCTGATACATATGAGTGTTATTTAATATTCATTTGTTTGCCTAATAACTTTAATTTTAGAGTGAATAAAAAGTGTTGATACTGATTATCCTTTCCACCTTTCTTCTTTCTCTTCTACAGATGGAAACAGCTTTGTATGTGATCGGTGTGGTAAAGTATTCGCTTACAAGTACTATCGCGACAAGCATCTCAAATACACGCGCTGTGTTGATCAAGGTGACCGAAAGTTTCCCTGCCACCTATGCAACCGCTCTTTTGAAAAACGTGACCGTCTTCGTATCCACATCCTTCACGTTCATGAAAAGCATCGTCCACACGAGTGCAAAGAATGCGGTAAGAAATTCTCCCAGTCTTCCAGTTTGAATAAACATCTAAGGGTTCACAGTGGAGAGAGGCCGTACAAGTGTCCATTCTGCAGTAAAGCATTTACAGCATCCTCTATCTTGAGAACTCACATACGCCAGCATAGCGGTGAAAAGCCATTCAAATGCCGCCATTGTGGAAAAGCGTTTGCTTCGCACGCGGCTCATGACAGTCACGTGCGAAGGACACATACCAAAGAAAAGCCATGCTTATGCGAATATTGTGGGAAAGCTTTTGCCCAGTCATACGAACTGAAGTTTCATATGAATATGCATACTGGAGAAAAACCCTACACTTGTGATCGATGTGGACGAGGGTTCTCTAGTCCGTCATCAAGAGATAGACATCGGGCAAATTTTGATTGTATCACGAAGAAAAACCGTGCTCCAAAAATCATGCGAAAAGAAAATGGCGTCAACCTGGAAAACGAGTTCGACGATGAGGGACGAACATGTGACATGAATAATGGCCACGAAAGAAATATGATCGTCACTTAATTTAGTTATTTGAATCAATAGTGAAAAGTATTCTGATGGAATTTCGTATTAAACAAAAGTAAATTAAGAAAATTGATGGTCAACGAATGTATAGTTTTTTAAAATATTATTTAAAATATTTAACTTTAAATCACTTTAACATCAAGTAGTTTTCATGAACATTAATTATAACCTAATAAATCAACAACAACAAGTCAGGGATATTGCCGAGTATCAAATAAAGTCATCAAAAACGTCAGTGGCCACACTATCAAAATGTTCTTGTTTAATGGATAGTGTTGCATATCCAAATTAAATTTATACTTCAATTGGCATAGTTTAAGGACTACAAATGTTTAAAAATAAAAGCTTTCAGTTAGAATTTTTATTACGAAATATTGCTTGTCAAATCAAATCTGTTGATCAAGTTGTAATGAAGTCTTTATAAAATACTAAAAAGTTGAAATGATAATCATTTTCACAGTTTGGGCCTAAAGAATCACTTCTTGATCAGATAGAAATCCACTTGGGCGCAATCAGGTTTTCCCATCCAGTCCTCATATCATTCCGTAGAGTATCATTTCGTTGAGTGAACAGTCGTGCATGAGAATAGAGAACGGATGGAGAGATCGAAGACAAAGTACACACCTTTGGTCTACTTTAATACCTGCTACGACCTGCTCTTGATTGAAGGAACTGACGACAAGAAATATAGTTAGCCTGCGTTTACACGGCTAGTTACCGGACACATTTTTTAACCGTTCAAATATTTGACCAGTACACAAAATTAACACGGATCCGTCGCTTAAATTGTATTAAAAAACAATACTGATCAATATCAATATTATGAATATAATAATGTTAGTGGCTGTCCATTAAAGCGCCTGCATATGGGAGTATTGTTTTCCCATTTCAGTCCACTTTTCATTCCCTACTGTATCATTCCTTTGCTTAACGGTTGCACATGAGAAAACAAATGAATATGGATATGGCTCTAACAAAGAATCTTATTCTCAAGGGATAATGGCAGGTGGTCTGAAATGCGCAAACATTTCTCCGTGAAACAAAATCAAATTAGTCAACTTAACGGCACCAAAATAAATGCTAAATGCAAACTTAATAAACGCAAAATAACAATAGGCGATGTCACAGTGATTTGTGTTCCCCCGAATTATGTGTTTCTCCGAACACTGGGCACTAGTGTTTTGTGTCCACCCCCCCCCCCCCTCCCCTTCCTATGAAACATCTTTTGACACGATTCTCTCCCCCAGGTTAAGGACATATTAAAGATAACTATTACTCTGAAAACGAAAAATAAATGGATAATCTCTATTGGTATTTTGGGAGACAAAATTTTATTTACCGAATTTAATAAATCAAGCGAGTACTTTTCTTGGTCTCGTGGCAAAATTCATATGCAAAATTTCTTTGCTGTATTATCTAGCAATACATGACTGCCGAAAACAGATGAATGTCACTCCTCAAAGAACCTTTGCTTCTCTTCACGTCTTTGACTCTCTTTTCCCCTCCTTTTCCTACGTACCATAGTACGCGATGTGGTGAGTTTCTTCGTGCCCAATTATTTCGAGCGAGAACTTCTTGCACATTCAGCGTAAAACATATTTTTCTTTATTCACAAAATCAGGAAAATGTTTCTTTCGGGATAAATAGTTAAAAACATTATCATACTGTGAAGCTTCCATGATTTTTTTAATTCGTTCGCGTTGAATTTAGATTTTAAGAAAATTCTAAGATTTAGCCGGTTTGTAAACCGAAAACCAATCATTTATAGAGCATCCTTGACCTGAGGGAAAGAATCGTGTCAAAAGATGTTTCATAGGGAGGGGAGGGGGGAACACAAAACAGTAGTGCCCAGAGTTCGGGGGAACACATTACTCGGGGGAACACAAATCCCTGTGACATTCGGAATTCACACATGAATATTTACCACACAACTTTATTAATAACACCTGAATAAACCTTGATTAGTCATTGGTGAAAATAAAGTGATGAAAGTATCAGGTGCTGATTCAATACCTCCGCGGGTATGATGACACTGCGCTCTAGCCTGCGTGCAGATCCTGAATTTTCTCTCCATATCTGTTTGGTGTTAATTTGCCGTGGTTAATTTGGTCGAGCAAGGATTAGTAACTAGACTTATATACCCAAGGGAGGGGTGTTGAGAGTAAGGGACAAAAGAAAATTCTTTTTCTATATTTTATTATTGTTACAAGAAAAGCAATTATCAATCCAAGCGGTTATTTTCTCTATGTACATGGTTGGCATGCGCTGCTACGGTGATGTCTCTTACCGCTGTATAGTTCAAGCCTGATGTCGCGGGTTCGAGTCCCTGCTGAACCACATGTTAACTAAACTTGATGTCTTACTTTTCCTTTGTGACTCCGGTTTTTCTATAGTAAAAATCAACATGTGACTCCGGTTTTTACTTTAGTAAAAATCAACATGTAAGTTATGTGTTAAGTGTTGTAAATAGTTACCAATGTAGTGTTGGTGCGTGTGGAGCAAACCTTACGGAAGAATAGTTGGATGTGAAATATAAATATGATGACATAAATACATCAACATATACCAATAGATATAGTGCACGCACAACGGACTAAATACAAAATAAATCACAAGAATATAAGTGGAATATGAGATGGTCCCTTGTACTACAGACTGATGGTCTATACCCCAGCTATCCATCTGGGTGGATGGTTCATACCCCAGCTGTCCATCTGGGTGGATGGTCCATAYCCCAGCTATCCATCTGGGTGGATGATCCATACCCCAGCTATCCATCTGGGTGGATGGTCCATACCCCAGCTATCCATCTGGGTGGCCTTGAAGTGTTAGACTGTTGCATGCTAGAACGCTTTTGGCTTTTTAAGCTGATTTCATTTTTAAATACTTGTTTCAATCTCGATGTTTGGCATTTTGGTATGATTAAAACCACAACACGCACTATCGATGGGATTATCTTGATCGTTTGATTCAACAATCAGCAGGGGTACAGTGCTATTGTCTGATGACTTTCTTGTCCCAAATGATGGTGAGAAACTGGAATCCAGGTCTCTGCTATGCCCATCACTATCTGGCGGATAAGTGCGAAGTGGTGTATCTTCGTCACGCACGTAGATTTCTACATTATTCGATTGACTTGATTTGTAATTATCTGAATTGATTGAAAATGACCTACAAGTAGGATTGTAGGCGTCTTTAAAATTAACACTCTCCGAGCTAACCTCTACCCAATCTTCTGTACCTTCTGGTGAAGGAATAATCAAAGTAAAACTTGAGCTTTTTCTCTGTTGTTCATGGCCCTCCGTTATTCTTTCACATTGACAGAGTTCATAAGAATTAAAAGGCAGATTTTCTCTATCCAGTTCATCTTTAGGCAACGAGCAATATTCACATACAGTCGAGCTATCAGATCTATATTTCCGAGGAGGTCTAGGATATTGTGTGTTTTGTGTGGAGAGAGGCATACTGTATGATCGTGATCTGTACGATCTGTCATCGGTTACTTTTCTATGAGGTACTTCGCTGGTCAAATGAAGCAAAGAAGAACTGCCTAGACTTAACCTCGAGGTAGGTAACTTTTCTGTTTTTAATCCGTTTTCGTTTTCTTCGTGTTCTGGCAAATCCCCTAACTTGGCAGGCGGTCGGTCATTTCTGCTCATACGACGCTCACGGCTCAATTTTCGCTGTTTGTTGGTCAATCTATTCGAAGGCTTTTTAACTTCGTTATTTGTTTGATCAGTAGCTGCACATTTCCTTGAAGCAATGCCATCCCAAGCAAGCAATTCAAAGTTGTTAGCTTTAACTGTGCTGTTTGCTCGACTGCATAGACTTAGAGGATCTTCACTGCCAGACCACCTTGGACTCTTCCTACGCATTGCTCGTCTCCTTAAAGCTTGCCTTGCCATAGCTGTTGTCAATGAATCAAAATGAAACTTGTTTTTCTTTCTAGGCAGTTTAAGCCTTGCTTGGGCATGAGCATAGTACAGGTTGAAGTTACTGCCAATGATTGATATCGGCAGAGCAACCATTAAAACCCCAAATATTGCACACACACCTCCTATTATTTTACCTGCCCATGAGTTAGGAGTCATATCTCCGTAACCAACCGTTGTCATGGTGATCAGTGAAAACCAGAAAGATGCAGGAATCGATTGAAATTTAGTTTCAAAACGGTCTAGTTTTTTCTCCACATAAAAAATAATAGATGAAAACATAACCACTGGAATTAATAGGATGATTAAAAGAAGGAATAATTCGTAAGAACTGGCTTTGAGCGTATGAAGAAGAACTTGAAGACCATATAATAGTCTAAAGAAACGAAAGAGTCTTAATAAACGAATCATTTGCAAAGCATCTGCTAAGTTATCACCTTCTGGAGACAGTAACCGAACGTAAAACGGCACGACGGAAAGAAGGTCTATCCAGAAGAACCAACTCTTCACAAGTTTGACTTTGTTTGGAGAAAATACTACTCGCATTACTACTTCTAAGGTAAACCAACTACCACACACGTACTCAATGACATCAAAAATCACACGAGATACGTGAAGATTGGTATTTGCTTCGGAGAACTGAGGTAGAGTTATAGCACAGGATGCTGCAACAGATAACACCACAAGGACCACTGAGAAGATTGAAAAAATCTGAAATAAAAGACATTGAGTTAAATGCGTAGGCAATATTTCCCTGTAACTGTACTCTCCCCAGAAATTAATGAACTATGAATTTCATTGAACCCTGAAACAAGGTCTAGTCTGATTTAACAGATGGAATTGGGATTTGGCGCGTTGAATTTTGTGGGTGGAAAAAGAACTACAGAAAACAAAGAAAACCCCTCGAATCAAGGTAGCGGAGACCCAAGGAACTCTACTCACAAGCGATGGCGAGTCCAAGAATCGAACCTGATAGAGGCCCTGCGATCAAAAACACATACAAGTGGTACGAAAATTTGTCCCAATTTTTACTAGTGGCCTTCTCCTCTTTGGTTTGGCAAAACATCTTGCAATAAGCTTTGATTTTTCGTTCTTTGTGATCTGATATGAGTCATTCTCCCTTGAAAATCAACGTTTGAGATATTTAACTTTTGTGAGAATACGATGAAGATGTATTGTTTTGAGAGGCGGGGGTTTAATATCGATATCTAAAATCCTCCCTCCCCTCTTTCGCAAAAAGAGTGAAGACAGACTACAACTATCTCTTCTGCACTAATTTTTGCATTGAAGTTAGTAATAGAAAAAGTGAATATGAAATCTACCTCCCTCAACTCATATAAAGGAGAAGGACTCTTAGTCTATTCCATACTGATAACCTCATAGAACTACGCCTCTTCATCCTCAAACTCTAAGACTTGATTTTGGCAAATAAGTTATGGCAACCTAATGCTTTCTAATATTACTTAATATATCTTTTTTATACATGTAATTGATTTTGTCTCGTGACAACAAAGACCTTAAACTGTGGACTGCATATCCATGCAACAGAGCACGAGATAAGGTGGAGTATAACATGCGCACATGAGCAATTGTGCCTGCGCACTCGTCGTAGTGAAGTCATTTCAATGCTTTTATGTCAGACATATTTTAAATACTGCTGTCATCAGAAGATTTCAACTCTGAGAAAATAATAAATATACGGGCCTCATTAAAACATGAGCGTTCTTAGCATGAACGAACGTCATTAGCCCTGCAGTCAAAYAATTTTCTGTTTTTCAATGAAGTCGGAATCTAACTGCCCTTTTATCATATAGCTTGTTTCTTTATTATGCTTTCAACTTTGCGATCAAAAACCTTTCTAATGTTGATATTGTAACTCGCTCAGTTCTAATTGCGATGTCCAGACCAACCAAACATCAGTGGCGTCATTACAATCAACACATATTTACATCAAAAGAAAAGTACTTGATGTTACATTTCCAACGGTTCTTGATATTTATCTATATATTTATCATATTTTCCTTCACGAGTTTTTCTTTTTATTTCCTTTTTTTCCAGTTCTTTTTCTTTCTTTTTCCCCTCTTTTTCTTTCATTTTCTTTTTTTCTTCTGCCTAAAGACGCCTTCATCTGAATCATTTATGGTAGGAGTAAATGTATTTTACTTTCTAATAGTAAGAAATACAATAAACCATTAATAATGACAAACCACAAGCCTAGTTACCCATTTTAAATAGACCGATTGGTAATAAAGGTCAATAATTAAAAAGAAAATATTAAGAGCGTGAAAACATCCTTTAGTCCTTACTGATAATATATAGATAAGAGGAGCAAGACTAGAATCATCTTAATCGTATCGAGTTTTTAGTTTTTAAAGTACAATTCTATTAGAATTCATCGATACAAGTCTTCATTTTGAGTAATGGAAATAGTCACATATTGTTTTATTTTAGCAATTAGGGGGGGAAATAATTTCATTTGATTAAAATGCAATTTCAAATTACTTATTTTATCCTACCACCTGTAGCTAGTATATATTTGTCGCCATGACAACTGCCAAAACACAGAAATTGGGAGAAAAGAAATCGATCAAAAACAGTCTGGCAAAGCACGGTAAGCTCTGTTCAATTTCGTATTTATAATTAAGGCAACTTTTTGATTTTGTTGTTGAAATATGTGGTGAGCGAAAAGTTGGCATCATGCTGAGCTATAAAAAGCGAAAATTGTAAATAGATTTTCTGTTTAAGTTTTTTTTTTTTTTGGGGGGGGTGGGGGGTTTCTATTCAGCTTTATTTTATCTCCTTATACTCCAGCCCTCAACTATAGGGATTAAAAATGTCAAGGATACGATATCTAAGTTGATTAGACTAGTGAGCTGACTGCATCCATGACAATGGCAGCGTATTCTTGACTGTTAGAACTCTCCCAAAACACGTATGCCGGAGCGTTTGGAAGGAATGGAAGGCGAAGAGGTTGTTTAAAGTTCTTCGTTTTCACGTTACTTCATCTGGTGACTTTACAGCGCTTCTCAAACAAAGACAAGAAAAATTGTCGCCAAATCGTGAAATTTTTTTTCTAGACATAAAAGAGTTTGGTGGACGCAAATCATATTATTTCCCAGCATTTTCGGAAAACACAAAGCTTTTTAGGGCACGTACCTATGGAATGTCATGGAAACGCAATGATTAGCGTCCACCAAAACTCACTTCGTCACAAAAGTTAATTGTACGATTTCAAGCGTGTGATTGAGAAGCCTGGCGCTGTAACAATAGACTTTTGTCCCTCATTCAAGGTTTTGATAAATACAATACTAAAATAAACAGGTGCATACAGTAAAAAAAGTCAAGACATTTCTGGGGTAAAACCCCACAAATTTATTTAAACTGATAAACAGGAATGATAAATGTTTTAAATTTTGGTTGGATGCAGGTTTTGGTTACTTGGATATAGAGCGTCTTTCTACTCAGTAGAAAGGATTAGATCCATGAATAATTCACTCTATTATACCTCTTGTTCTATAGGCAGAGATATTAAGATCAAAAGAGTTAATAAAGGTGTTTCATTGAACAACTAATTAAAGGGTTTGTGAATACTGATAAGAAAGCATGTCAGTCTTGGGCAGCATAACTAGTTTTGCTACAGGAAATTAAAAGTTTGCAAATATAAATATAATGTTGTAACTTTAGCCTGAACAGTTGATTTAGACGTTTCTTGTATTCTTCTTTTTCACTATCGTCATAGAACACCCGAACAAACAACTTAAAATAAATTTAAATCATGAATTCATATGAAAGGTGATAAACCTGATTCTTTGATATGTTTTACAGAACTATGATGTGACTTAGTGTTGGAAATTTTAGATCGTAGTTTTTTGTTTTTGTTTTTTTCTTCTTCTTTTTGTTTAATTTCTTTACTGAATTGTGAACTTGATTTTCTTCACTAGTCAATTGGAACCATCCAACGCCTGGGACAAAGCGGGGATTTATACGGCGAGACCAGGGATTGAACGAGCAATTCATGTTTAACAGCAAGAATGCACAGATAACCGGGCAATCTGACGTTTACTACGACAGATTAACAATTTTAACTGAAACAACTTCAATAATCGTAACAGGAAATCTCTCCCTGTGTACCGGGAAGAAATGCTAAATTTAACACTACTTGAATGGTAAGAATAAGGCATAAAGGGTGTTTTTCGCCCCTAAACACGAGGATTTTTGGTGGGTTTGAAATTAAGGATTTTCTTAGTACGAATATGTTTATTATTATTATTATTATTATTATTATTATTATTATTATTATTATTATTGTTATGGCAAGTTTTATTTGTCTGTATATATCATGTTTACATTGGCCAGCGGACTAAGTCTAGGCTGGTTAAGTTCATCATTTTTTTTCAATTCTTTCTTCAGCTTATGCATATTCATAGCACCTCTTGACCATATTAACGTTCTGGCTTAAAATCCATTTCTGGNATTATTATTATTATTATTATTATTATTATTATTATTATTATTATTATTATTATTATTATTATTATTATTATTATTATTATTATTATGCCGTCCCGAGGGTCTGGGAGTGGGGGGTTTCGATTGACTTCTAGTGCAAAATATAGACTTAGGCTAATACGCGTCTGAAAAGTCATAGGTGAGGTAGCAAACCATGAACAAAATACTGACACTGGTACAAAGTTGACGAGGAATGCTGACAAGAAAAACTAAGCTCATTTGATTATTAAATGAAACGGAAAAGATCCGATAAGCCGGGAATAAGATTAACTACAGGTACTTAATATATTGGAACTAACATTACAAATGATACTGGACTGAGCTGGTGACTAAACGAATATTCTCGTGTCCTGCATCTACAGTAGTAGAGATAAATAAGTTCAGTTATGCCAAATAAAACATTTTAGTGTTGTGAACTATGTTTGTAAATTCGATTTATATATTTACGTTTTCTTAATGAAGTAATTTGTTTAAAATTTTGGACGCCATACATTTACTCTAAAAAATCTAAAACTTTGTTCGCTAATTCAGTATCTCGTAGTATCTCGTAGTATCTCGTATCTAGTAGAGATGCCCTTATAATACTCCAATGTTTGATAGCTTGTATTATTGATACAGCCCTATTTAGTTACTTGGTCATAAGAAATTTTTTTTTTTTTGTTTTGTTTTTTTTTTGGCACCAAAAAATATTCTTGCAACATCAAAATTCATAGTGATTGAAAATAAAGAATCGGCCAGTATCATCATTTATTTATCTATATAATAGAATAGAGGGAGAATCTTCGACAAATTAAATGTATAGAATGTTAAATTTACAATTCAACTTGACGGCTGAATACAACATTTATTGACTTATTATATATGCGAAATCAACACGGAGCAATCAAAGACGTCTCACCTTCATTACTAGAAACCATGTATATACACTTACGAACTATTATTCCTATAAGGGTTTTGAACCACAGTTTCTCAGTGCGTGAGAAGCAATAACATAACAATAGCTTATGAATATATGTATAGCCATAAAAGGGTTTGTGCTTATTGATATATGTCTAGAAGTTACTTTTTGTCCGCTGTTCAAATATTTCCAATTTGTTCCCGCGAAAAGACAGTAGTAATATAAAAGATTCAGTTGACGTACCTTAGCAGCTCTAGAAGAGCGTGGATCTTCCAGTATTGACCACACTTTCGGTTTATACTTTGACCATAAACTGAATATCCGGCTTGAATGTCGATCTGATTCATCATCAGTTCCTTTAGACTTTTCCCTTTCCTCGTCTTGTTCCGCTTCAAAATCACCAGCCACGTTAAAGCTCTTTAAGTTGTTTTCAGCGTCCCTGTGTTGAATATAGGATGTCCAGCAACAAGGCTCCATATTTTTTTCGTCAATACCCCAATACGCAAGCTCTTCCTCGAACAAAGGGCCACAGACATCATTTGGACAATGAAGCTTACCTGTTCTGTAATAATTCAAAACAAGTGAAAATATCCCAGGATGGCGATCGAAGAAAAGTTCAATTTTTTCCGAATGATAATCAATAGTTTTAGTGACATTTTCAACCACCCAATAAAGTCTAGTGTCAGGATAATTTCTGATAGTACTTAGGTACGTCTCATGTTTTTGTCCTCCAACATTCAATGTTATTCGCTTCTGTGTTGTGTCGATAACTTGCGGCATTATTTCAAGGCGCTTCTTTGATCCCATCTAGGACTGAAGCCGCCACTTTCAGCCGTATACCCCCGAGATCAGAGCAACAAGCCTTTAACTTCTTCTGGTATTTTTTGCATTTTGAAAAATATTGTTTTTCCAACAGTGATGAATCTGAGAAATAAGAAAGCAAACGTTTGAGGTCGTACGAAGGAGCACTGAGTTTCCGATTTTTGAATCATAAATGCCACAGTTCAATTTGTGGACATAAGTGAGTCTAGTGATTGGGTTTTTGAAGGACAGATGGTTTTATTTGCACATAATCTTGGCACGTTATCTTATTGGCCAACCAAACCGGCAACTTCAAGGTTAGAAGCATAGATGTCCTAAATGCTATTCATTAGCTTGCAGGTGACAAACGTGAAAGCCTTAAACACAGCGAAAGCAAGCTAGAAATATAGATATCCTGAAATGCTATTCATTAACTTGCAGGTGATAAACGTGGTGAAAGCCTAAAACACAGCGAAAGCAAGCAACATTCACTTATATGGCCAACCGAATTTCACACTACAGTTACTGATAAAGACGTACTCGTTCACAACTGATTCATCCTCAACTGCACTATATTCTTGGAAAAAGTTGGTAAAATATTCATTGAAAACGGGGGAAATCGTCTGAGATACAAGAACAAAATTTTAATTTAAAGAAGCAATTTGTGAGTGTTATGTTTAGTTACTTTTCGATCTTATCTGATTTACTCCTAACCTTGTCCTGTTTCACAGTTAGCTTGTATTGTACTGTTTAATTTGTCATCCTACAGCAAACACTACAATTAGGGCTCTATACAAATAAAAAATGTCGTGATTCAAACTTTTTATTTAAAAGTGTTTCAGGTTTATTATTATAAAGTATTTGGAAATGGCCAAGGATAGACAAGGATAAGGGGTTTATCTGTAGATAATACCGGTGTATTGGAAGTAGTTCGATATTAAATGACCAAGGATAAGACGTTTATCTGTAGATAATACAGGTGTATTGGAAGCATAATGACTCTCCAGACATTAAAACCAGACCTTTTAATAAGATAACAAAACATATTACAGATCAGAAAACAAGCGGAACCTTCTTTCTTTCTTTTAGATCCAATAGAGCAAATAGGTCATTTGCATCACAGCGTCAGTATATAACTGTCACTACCTGATGATAACTACGACACATGGTGCTAATTAACTCAGTAGTAACTCTGATTATCGAAGTGTATCCAGCTGATTTGAGACAAAATGTTAGCCAATCAGAACCGAGAAAATTTGAAAATCTGAGGTGTCACATTTTTTCTTGAAATTATGGTTTCCAGGCCACCAAATGAAAAAAAATAGCATTGCTAATAAACGCTTGTTAACAAGATAACACACTAACAGTGAATGAGTTTTATGTTTTTATTAAATGGCAGGTATGTTTTTATTTTCCGCTGTTCAATTTTTGCAGGCTTCATGGCACCACAGTTTTGCCGTAACGTCATGGCCATGTCAATTTTACAGATCAGCTGGATATCACTAATATATATATTTAGGCACTGCCTAAAAGCGGAGCTCCCGATACGGAAGTCACAGGGACCTCAATTTGAATGAAATTGAAAAGGAAAAAATAAAATCGGGAAAAAAATCTTCAATTATTTTTTATTCCAGATGAAGATAGTATCTCCGATAATAAAAACCATGCATTGAAATCGAATCGAAATGCACTACATCGTTTTATTTGCGCGAGTATACTCTCCCACTTCGGGGTCCAACTAAAACACCAGTTTCCCAAGTACTGCACTGCTAGATTTCTTCCAGCTTCGAAGATCAAGATATTTTTTCAGTCTCTCGGCTCCTTGTGCATTCAATCAACGTGTTCATAAGCTGGATTTCCTGAGTGTTTGTTTGAGCTAAATGTCCAGTTAATGATCTGAAATTTGAAAACGTATCTTCTCTATTCTTCTCTCTTCACTATTTCCATTTCTCCTAGCAGTTACAGTGCTTGTTTTCTTTGGCTTTTTTGCTAAAACTTACAATAGTCCGATAAGCTGAATCCTGATAAGTCCCCAAAAAATCGGTTTTCGTAGCACCCCCCTGTAGACATAGTGAAACTGGTATCAATTGAAAGCTTATTATCTATATTTTCATGATTCACTTGTTACTTTT